TGGGCATTTAAGTAATCTGATATACCATAAAAAAACAGTCCATGAAGGTCGTAAAGATTACGCATGCGACAAATGCGACAAGAAATTCGGACAAAAATCACATTTGCTCGTCCATCAAAATGCAGTTCACGATCGTCGTAAAGATTTCGAATGTGATAACTGCGCGAAGAAATTTGCGCAATTAAGCAATTTAACAATACATAAAAAGACAGTACACGAAGGTTGCAAAGATTACGCATGCGATAATTGCGAGAAGAAATTTGGAAAAAAAAGTAATTTGATTTTTCACCAAAAGATAGTACACGAAGGTCGAAAAGACCACCCATGCGACAATTGCGAGAAGAAATTCAGATACAAACGGATTTTGCTTGCCCACCAAAAGGAAGTACATGAGGGTCGTAGGGATTTCGCATGCGACAAGTGCGAAAAGGTATTTGGACTCCAATGGAATTTGTTTTCCCATCAAAAAAATGTACACGAAGTTCGCAGAAATTACGCATGCGATAAATGCCAGACGAAATTTGGGAATTCGAGCAGTTTGAGAAAGCACCAGATTTCAATTCACGAGGGTCACAAAGATTTCGCATGTGATAAGAGCGATAGAAAATTTGGAAAAAAATCGACGTTGCTTTCACACCAAAAAAGGTGCACGAAGGTCAGAAAGATTTCGCATGCGACACATGCGAAAAGAAATTTACAAAAGAAAGGAATTTGCTTATCCACTTAAAGACAGTCCATGAGGGTTCCAAAGATTTTTCACGCGTTAAATGAAATTTGAAATAAAATCATATTTGATAAAGCACCAAAATATCGTTCACGATAATCTCAAAAATTACGCATGCGACAAATACGAGAAAAAATTTGTGAATCAGCGAAACTTGGACTAACACCAAAGGACAGTACTACGACAGTACAGGAATAAATCGTTAACAAAATGAGCAAAAATCAATTGAGTAGAATTTCAGCCTCGCGCAAAATTTAGATCCAATACACTGCGACTAACATCAAATGCATCGCTGGATCTCATTGATGTCACTTTTCTCATTGCTGTAATTCAACTAAAATTCAATAAAAAAAATTTACATTAAATTATAATTAAACGTAAACTTACACGTTTAGTTTTTCTTAATTAAGATTCTAAATTTTAATTTGCATCAAGCAAGAACATTCAAAGTCAACATTGCCAAAAATTTTTAAAATTAGAGACAAGTAAGCTCGAGTCATAAATCTGTTCCAATTGATATTATAGAATTTACTGGCGGTTTTCAAACGGAGCCTAAAAACGATCGATTCGAAAGCCCCTGACGCACTGCAACCGGACGCGTGGCAAAGCCCTAATTGTAACACACTAGCTCCAGTAGACTATTTAGCAGCTCGATCCGATTTTTTTTTTAATAAATACGTACCGCGTGGTACAAACTGTTCGCGCCCTGAAAAATAGTAAATCTCTTAATTCAAAACTTCTTAATCCCGTGGACCAATACAAAAAGCGGAAAAGAGAGATATACATAATAATGTTCCCAACGTGATTGACGTATACTTGACGCGTCGCTCGCCTTTTATTAAATACAAGTGTGTCGTCGCTCAACTTCGACATCTCGGCTATGCCACTTTATTATTAGCGTATACACACACACACACAAGCCAGTGCGTAAGTGTACTTATGATATATATTTTAAGCCACGACAATTATTCTTAATAGATTCGGAGAAAGGTGGAATTCGTTTTTCACCTCGAGTCGCTTGTCGCGTGTTTGGACCGCTACTGGCGGACGTGCACGAAAATTATCATCAAGCTCCTCGAGAGAAATCTCTCTCGCGTGATTGCTAATTCGTGGGTCGTAGCCGCAAAGAGAGCTATTAATTAAAAAAAAAAAAAAAAAGGAGCGTGCGTGCCACCGTCGTCTGCTTAAGCAGGAAGGCAAATATTATTTAATTGATTCATTTATTAATTTCGTTGGACGAAATTATCCCCTGAAGAAGTCGCATTTTCAATACGATTTTTTATGTAATTTCGTTGTCGCCAAAGAAGACATCAACGGTGCGCAACAAAGAGTGCGAACCTCGTGCAGCAGTACACCCACACCCATATACACACATACGTGCTATGTGTACCGCTACGTACAAACGCACGCGTACGCATTATTATGAGATTAAATGGTGTCTTCGTTGTCGTCGTCATCGAGGGACCCCCTCGCATGTACTGCTGCAAGCATCCTTTTTAAAAATAATTATATTCCACAGGCGCTATATGGGTACCCCTATTTTATATCTCTGCGCGAGTGTAAATAAATTTTTCTCCTTTCTTTTCGTATACGCGTGTGTGTGTGCTCTCGAGTCGCATGCGGACAAAGATACTCACCCACTCAACTCGACCGATTTAAAAACGGTATACGGCATCGCGTGGAAAGCGTTATACATCAAGCGTTCGGCGCGTCACCGAATTTCGGACTCTCATTTTTTTTTTAATCGTTATAAGGACGTGTGATACAACTCGTGTCTATCGCCGTGAAAATCTTCGTCGCATATAATAAAAATACAAGAGGCCGTATCATCACCGTAACACGTTAAAACGATTTTATAATTAGACGATCCGGTAAGCGAGTGTATTATTATACGAAAGATCGTAAACGGATAAAACGACGCGCTGCTGCTCGCTCGAGCGCGAATCGAATCGAGAGATCGTTTACACCTGGTTTTTCGATGTAATTATACAACATACGAGCCTGGTGACACGGCTCATTGAATCCCCAAGTGCCGCTGTGCCGGGGTGGTGGGGTCAACGATCTCGAAACAAATCACGTCGTCGACTACTTCGCACACGCGTATGTGTGTCCCAGGAAGCCTCGCTATAGAAGGAATTCGGCCGAGCTTTGTGTTTTCGTATTACAATGATGTATTTATCGTGTGCGTTCGGTACATGACAAAACAATACTTATGTTGTGTGCTCTACGCGAATAGAGAAGAAAACAAAAACCGATCGTCGTTCGCCCTTTCTGCTGTGTATAAACTTTGCGGAAAAGGAATCGCGATGAAAATGAAAAAAAAGCAAAGGAAAAATAGCCGACGTGCCGATTCACCTGAATCATGTTATACACTCGGTCGAACCTGAATCATCGCATCTCGTCTCGCGGAGGCCGCCGAGCATTATGAAAAAAGTGACGCACGCCGTCATGCGCACAGGATTCATGCGTGTGTACGAATTATAATGGAGTTTGCGGATATAGTACAAGCTCGAACGTGTGCATAAGCGGAATTTTTTTAAGTCTCGATCCTACAGTCGTACGCACGCGCGGGTAAAAAGTTCGTGTGTGTCTTCGACCGATCGAATCTTTTCGGAGTCGTCGTCGTCGTTTAACGGCAAAGCCGCATCGACTCGAGTGGATAAATTCAATGTACACCTATGTGGCACGTACACACATATTCACGCGTGCAGTGAAAGTCGCATTGTCTTCGGGCACGAGTACCACGCGTGTGCGTACTTGTATTTGTAATACTTTCACTCCCCCATTAATTACTTATGTATTAGGATCATCTCTCGGGGTATTTAATGAGGCTATGATTTACGATAGAGAGAGACGATGCGATGATGATCATCTTCGCGCGCGACCGATTCCGACGTTTCCGTCGATAAAACAAACACACGAGCGAAATCTACGCCGCTTATAATATGTACTGTTATACGCGCCGAGATAAAGCGACCGAGAGTTAATACAACCGAGTTTATCGGATCTGTGTCGAGAGCTACGGCTGCTGCTGCTGCTTATGATCCCTTTAACCCGGAAACGCGCCGATGATCGGTATCGATCGATAAAACGAAATCGTTGTTATTATTGCGATATACGCAAGCTGCCGATTTTTGTTCTAATTATAAACTCTCTCGCATCTGCAGCAGCATATAAGGCGTAAATCTTTGTTTCTCCGCTTGTGCATATATTATAAAATAGTGGCATAGTGGATATGCTACGGCGTTTTCGTTGCGCAATGCCCACGTGTGTCTGTGTTTGCGATTTCAGCAAAGGGTCACTCGTAGGAGTTTAAATTAATACACGCGGACACACGAACGCGAGAGCTAGTATACATAATATATAAAATGCACTTCACACGCATACACAAACACAGCGATATACTTTCAAAAAGCGAGTTTCTCGCGCCCACCTGCGTATTATATATATCTATACCAGCTAAAAGTCTATATAGGATATTGCGCAAAAATCGTTATATACTTGTGTGTGTTGTGCTGCACGGGCCCACGAGCTCCATTGCAGCTCAAGCGTTTTGTTATCTTATTTTATTTTGTTTTATTTTATTTTATTTTTTTTTTAAATACAAAAATAAGAGCGCATATCTACGAGTAAGCGGAGCTGCTGCTGCTGCTGCTGTATGCCTGAATTTTTATTAACATTCTCGCGAACGAAATCGTCGTCGTAACTCACCTGAAAAAGGAACGAATAATTTCTGGATCGCACATGACTACACGACGGGCACACACACATACATCCACATGTAATATGTAAACGCGAGCCGCGGCAATAATATAATACGACTCGACGCGGTGTACTCCGCGTATATACGCGCGCGCGACACAACAATAACAAAAGCCATTACTATATGGTCAAGGCAGAGGCGCGCAGGTAAAGGTAAGAAAAACATGATTATTCGGGATGTAACGTCGCTCACATGTATAAGTTATTATAGCGTATATGTATATTATTTATGTATGTATGCATGTGTGTGTACATGTCTCGCGCGGTTCTCCGGACTGGACTTTTATGCGTCTGTCTGTGTGTCTGTGTGTGTGAAGCTATGTGGTCTCTCTCTCTGTGTCGAGTCGAGTGTCCCCTCCCGGCTCATATACACACATTTCCCACTGTACGAGTCGTCGTCGTCACGAGCGCGGAGTTTTCGAGTCGCGCCGAGCGTAAAAGAGAGAGAGAGAGAGAGAGAGAAATATACACACACACACGAGCGCATATATGTATATCCGAGTCGGCCTCAGAGTCTGCTCCGGTCGGGCCGACAGTGCGTGTCGAGAAGGCCCGCGAAACGCGTACCGTATACACCGACGACGACGATGATGAACTTGTGCTCGGTTTAAGATTTCTCTCCTGTCTTCTTCTTCTTTTTTTTTTTTTTGTTGTTGCTGTCGTTGTCGGTGAGTGAACGAGTGAGTGCAGTACGCGTGTGAGCCATTGTTGTTTTCTACAGATAAAAAAAAAGAAAAGGAAAAGAGAAGAAAAATAGTGCAACTGGTGCAATGTTTCCCGCGCGCGCGATTCTTCTCTCGGGTGGCAAAAGTGCAGTGTTACACGCGCGGTGCGCGTGGCATTGCTAATTGAGTGATCTACATTGAAAAGAAGACGAGGAGGATGCTGTAAAAACCGATTGTACCTTCCTTCTTTCTCTTCGTCGTTGTTATTTTTTTTTTCGAAACTTCATCACAAGGTTCGTTTGATCCATGCACACGCAAATAATTTTATAAAATAAAAGCAACACCAAAAATCATTAAAAGCGTATGCGCTCCGCGATTTTAATGCGAATCGAGCGAAATGCGTATGTGTATATCGAGCATAATAAACGCGAGACCGTTTCGGGACAAATGAAAAAGGGGGAGATAATGAATACGAGCGCTCTCTGCGCTCCGTTGCCGGTGGCTGCCTTTATTTTATTTTATTTATTTTTATTACTTTCGTTTGATTTTAATTGAAACGACGACGAGCGCTGTGCCTGCGCGCTGCATCTCTCTCTCTCTCTCTCATAATTGAAGATAAGGGCCGTCGTGGAAAAAAAAAGGATGATACACACGAAATTTTAGTCATACCGATTTCGCGGAATTGTTTCGGAAAAAAAAAGAAACTGAAAACGATAGGACTGCGTATAAAAACCGATCGTCGGTGTCTATCTCGCTCGTGTATTCGTTTGTTTACAAGTTCAAGAAACGATTGTCTCGAACTGCGCCTTTTAAAAAAGAGCATATAAAAAAGAGAAAAAACAGCTCGAGACGACCGACCGATTAGATTACGATCGGTTGAGCACACACACGCACAAGTACACTTTGTGCACTAACGGTGCGTTTCTCTCTCTCTCTGTCTATTTAGCCACCTATTTTTTTTATCGCGGTAAAGTTACACAAGTTAGTAATGTACGTAGGTGCGAGGGCGCGGAATGTTTAACCAGAGATTTTCATCATTCGGTCGTGTATTTGTCTTTCGCTCTTCGTACGTATATACTCCTTTACCTCCTTTACAACACTTTCGTATGCGCCGTTCTAGATACGTATAGCTATACCATATATCGTCGTAAAATTTGTGTTTTATATACACTACATATATCTCGCGGTGACCGGGTCGTATTGTCGTGGCCGCACTTTTGACAATTTGTATATCGCTACACGATATTTACCGATCTCGCGGCCCTAGCGCCGACTTTTAACGACGAATATAAATTAATGAGAAACCGGTATACGCGTGTACGCGTAACAAGCACAAGACAATATCTGTCCCCGCGCGAGATATCGGACCCAGTTTTTGAACCCACGCACACTCAATTGCACTATATACCCAAGTTCTGCTCGGTGTATAATAGACGCGGTCGTAAGAGCGATTATTTTGTTTTTTTTTTTTTTACACAGTCGAGACTTGCGAATATCCTTTTATACCTATATACGTACGTATATAGTTTATCTCGCGTGGATTAAATCAGCTGCAGCGACTCTAATAACGGCAAAAAAACATGGATTTTCCTCTCGGTGGTCGGTTGCGCGCGTTATATACGAGTTGACTCACGTATAGTAGTAATTCGTATAAGGCCGCGCGCGATGACGTCACTCGCGCGGCTCGGCTATATAGTGGTTTCTTACTACATTACAATGTATCCGTCCAAACAGGTATATACTTTGAGAGAGCCAAAAGAAAAGTTTTCTGCATCCTATTAGTTATATACGTTAGAAGAACGCGAGCACGTGTCTTTCTCTCTCAATTCGAGATATACTATATGTAACATGTAACACTCCCTTTTAGTTCGGAGTCGCGCTCCAAGTCTGTTGTTTATTTTGCTCTCTCTCTCTATGACTCCGGTACTGCATATCTTATGTACTGTACAATGTACCGCGTTATAATGTACATTACAATGTCTCTCGATTCGCGCGCGCGAGCTCGGATATGAATATATATAGATATACGCGTGTTTGCGAAGGTGTTCGCGCGCCTGAATACCAATTTGTCACGTGTATATGTGTGTAATATCGAAACGCGTTGGGAAGATTCGCTTCGTCTCGTCGTTCGATGATGACTACATCATTATGATTCATCGAAGGAGCAGTGCATTATAACGAGCCGCGCGTATCGTTCAATTGTAAATGCATATGCGTGTACTTTTTCGTGTGAAATCTTCGCTTCGTAGCTTTGACGCTAGATAATCAAGCTCGTATCGTTATAATAAAAAAAAGGCGAAAGGCGCGCATATCGAGGAGCGCGCTCGCGCTCGCTCTGGCAAGTATGGCAGAAAGAGCTGCGGCGTACACGCTCCTCATATACATCGCACTGGCGTTTTTCGCTGCCCGCGAAAACTCTTTTTCACTCTCATTTGAATTTGATAACAGATATCTTAATTCTGTAAAGTGCTATAGAATCCTGGATGAAAATGCAATCCAACGACGTATATAACATACCGAAAAAAGTTCATTTTCAACGAAATACGAGCGATTGAAAGAAAAATCCACTTCGCAAAAAACGTTCTTACCAAAAAGTGGTCAACCCAAAATAAGTTTCAGACCATTTGCTGTGTTCACGTCATGCGCTTATACGTTGTTATTACGCCGTCGATGTGTATAATGTATATACACACCTCGATCCTCGAATACACACACACATACACATGAGGTTTTTTTTCTCGTGGAATATTATTGATCGATCGATTATTTCCGGTATACCCCGGTAGCCCACTCGAAGCTCTTGGTATGAATACCGACCCGGCGACGACTTTCTCCGAGGAAGTCGAACTGTTTTAGCTACTTCGTGCACCCGGGTGGCCGACTAGGTGCACCAAGTATGAATATCGACC